CCAGTAAGTAATATTTATATTATTACTTGTTTGTATAATGATTTATTAAGCATTTTAGCAGGTGAAATAGCGGCCCCAATGACGAAGAAAAAATACAGAGTCCTTGAATGTTGCTGTTACGGTCCACCCTGTAGAATAATATTAATTTCTAATCCTTACATTTTTATTATATAGCTTATCTAACCCAAAGTTATTATTTAGACAAATATAATATATCGTGTTACCTTATTAACCAAATCATGTCGTTTTAGTAAAATGCCTTCTGACAAGTATAATGTTTCATAGAGAAAAATAAATATAAACGTTGACCTCTTGACCTCTTCAAGTCAGTATAGGTCATTAGCCATTATTTAGACAAATGTAATATAACGAGTGTGTTCCGAAATATAACCCACCATACTGGCCAATGGTGATGACGTCATGAATCTACGCCATACTGTTGATCCGTTTCGAAATATACGGCTAGTGCGTTGACGTCAAATTGACGCCATATTGAGAATAGTATTTGTGCTCGTTTACAACAATTTTGCTCCCAAAGTTATTAACGTTACTTATAATAAAAGATTCCTCAAAGTTTGGTGAACACACGCCATTTGATAAACTACTACGTCACACTTGTCTTACCAGTACAACATGGTAGCACACCAATATAATATGGCGTCGATTCCTGACATCATCAGCACGGGCCAGTGTGCTGGGTTATATGTCATAACACACCCAGCTTATTATTTTATTGAACCCAATGTCATTATTTTAAACGGGTATGACAAGTAATCAATTTAATGAATTAAAGCTTTCTGACAGCTGTAATATTTCATGGAGATAAAAAAATATAAAGTTTGAGCTTTGATTTTTTCAGGTTAGTATGATAGTAGGACAGGCTGTAAATACACTTTATTACCCTATTCAGTTTAGCTTACACAAACCTTCTAAGAAGTGAGAAAAGTACTTAAAAAAAGGGTATCTTCAGTAAAAGATGTTTTACTTTTGGAAATTCCTAGAACTCACTCTAAGTCAATCCTTTAAAGAGAAAAAAACAGAGAGAACATCGAATACTACCACTTAAATCGTTTCAACTAATATATTATAAGTTAGTCAATAAGCGGTTGATTAATGTGTATCGTCTTTGTAAATAAAGTAAAATTAAGAACTTATATTCGCGGAGGATTGATTTTGACTTCTAAGTCTTAACTCACTTCGCAAGGACCCTAATTAAAAATCCTCGTACATAAAATATATATTTAGGGCACAACATATCTATGGCTAGATCAGATTCTGTTACGAGTCTCACAACATCAGGTTCGACTGGAATCTCACTACATAAGAGATGTACCTTTTGCAACCTGCCTGCATTAAGTTGTATTTTACCAGTCTATTTTTCGAAGTACAATATATTACATAAACCAGCGAGTTAGTATATTCTTTTCAAGCATCCTTCCAACTTAAACTTCAACTTCAGTCAAGAAGGATTGCAACATTGCAATACTCTTTAAACTGTCAACATAAAAAGCGTTTTCCTCCAGGACTACATGATACGTGATTACAACTGGGTAGAAATTTTACTAATTTTAAGTAAATATAAACTGCTGTATCGCTATCTGCAAAAAATTCTACTGTTAGAAATATGAATCATGTCGTCCTGGAATTTGTAAACGGCGTCCGCCAGTTTTTTGCATCGTCCCTATGATAACGGCTGCCTAGATAACTTGACCACTGGTGATAATTGTCAAAAGACAGTAGTTAAGGCTCATATTCGTTACTTGAATAATAGTTAGATTGACACTTTTATTATATTACTACATTGCCTCCTACCTTTCTATGTATATATCTCGTGATGCCTACAGAACTATTTCATGTATGTCTGCTTCGGAAAACACTTAACCGCACATCAACACTTTTATGTCCATTAATATGTGAGTATTTTGTTGAAAGTATCACTTAATAGTGTTAATTGTAACTAATTCATAATCATCACCTACCGCGCGAACACATTTGTCCAGCAAAACACCACGAAACGACGACGAAATAGAATAAGCTTTAAGTTTGTGATGTTTATCTTAGATAATATCAAGCCATCGCAAAACCGCGCATGCACAATAAAAAAGCACATTCCAATTTCAGATAAACAACGTTATAAGCATCGACGCGACGTTTAAGAAATGCTGGAAATTACACGATTTTAATGGCAGCTTTCGTAAAGATATTCCTCTGTTTATTTCTTCGATTGTAAATTATATAATACTTAAATTAACAACTGAAAATCAAGCCGAAGTGGTTTTCGATGTTGTAACAAGAAGGATTTAAAACAAAAATATTCTGTATCTACAATCGTAGAAGTGCTATTGATGAGCCAAGCAAAACCAAAACCAATATCAATTTTGGTATTGGTCTTGGTCTTGCTCAAATACATCTAATCTTGGTGTTGGTCGTAATCTTGCTAATATAGTCCCGGTTTTAATCTTAGTCTTTCTGATATGCCCTCGCTCTTGGTCTTTGTCATTTGATCCGATAGGTTTCTTTTAGTAATTTTTCTATTTACCAACACAATAATTACAAATACTAAAAATGTTTTTGTATATATTAAAGCTGGTTCAGATAGTTTAACTAATAATGAACCAATAATTCCTCGTTTAGATCTGTTACAATAAAAGTGACCAGAGAGGTGAAATATTATTTATTTAATTTGAAATCTTAAACCGTCGTTTCGCGTTTTTGGTCGAAACTTCAAGGCTATAAAATTTATGAACAAGATGTTAGTCTTTATCTAATTATTAAGATTATAGTACTTACTAGATTACTAATCTCAAAAATGAGATACAAACTAACATGTTCATAAATTTTATAAAGCCTTCGACCAAAAAGGCGAAACGTGTGTTTAAGATTGCAAATTAAATGAATAACTTTCCACGCCTCTAGTCGCTTTCATTTAAAAACAGTTCTAATTCAACATTGGGGAAGATAACACAAAAGTTCGTTTAGTCTTGCGTATTTGGTGTTGGTCTTACGGTCTTTGCTTTAGTCTTGGTATTGTTCGTTAGACCTTAAATTTTAGTCTTGATCTTGTTCGTTTGGTCTTGGTCTCGTATATAGACAATCTTGGTCATTTTCGCAAGACTAAGACAAATCAATATTTCTTATCACTAAGGTATGCCGTTTATTAGCCCACTAATCTCATTAATTTCTGTCTTTATATTTGTTAGTTGACTTAAAAAGGGTTGGATTTAAAACTTAAAAAGAAGAAAATAAAAGTAGTGTATGTTGCCACTTTTTTCGACCATTTTCATTTAATAAAAATAAATTGTCACTCTGTCGTCATCATAAGGTCGTCAATCCTAAGACTGGTTGGATACACACCTCCACTCTTTCCTATCCTGAGCTAATCTTCGCATTTCCCTAAAACTATAATAACCCACATCCTTAACTATATGCGAATAGTAATCTAATCTAGGCCTACCTCTACTCCTCTTAACTCCTTTTTCTGCCTCTAATATGTCTCTGACTAGNATTTTCATTTCGGTAATGTATTAGTTCTGTTTAATTGTTTTTCATTTAATTTTACTTTATACTATGTCCACAAATTGTGCACTTCAGCTGAACGAAACGGTGTTTTTTATTTATACAATATATCAGGCAACGAACAAATTATATACAATTCTTTTATCACCGGTGTTTTCTTGTAGCTAATGTCAACACTCATCGTCAGCTGGAGAAATAAATTCCCACAAGTATCAATATTTGTAAAGTTTAAAGTTAATATTGCTCATCATCATAAGGTCATCAGTTGGACATGTACCTCCACTTTTTCCTATCCTGAGCTAATTTTCGTATTTCCCTAAAACTAGAACAACCCGCATCCTTAACTATTTGCGAACAGTAATCTAACCTATGCCTGAGAAGGTGTCCTACCAACCTATCTCGCCAATGTTTTATTGACTTCCATAGAGTCCTCTGTTCTCCTATTCTTTCTAATACCTCTTTATTTCTAACCTTTTCTACCCACGATATCCTCATCATTCGCCTATAACACCACATTTCGAACGCTTCTAACCTTTTCTTTTCCGCCGCGCCCACTGTCCATGTTTCGCACCCGTACAACGCCGCGCTCCAAACATACACCTTTAACAACCTTTTCCGAATTTTTAAATTAACCGTTCGCGACCATGGAAGTGCCTTATTTTTATTAAAAGCGACTCGACCCTGTGCTATCCTCTGCTTTATATCTCCTTCCGTCCAGACTTATCTGACTTCCTAGATACCCAAAATACGCCACATCTTCTAATTTTTCGTATCCTATCTTCATATTCGCTCTTTTCCTACTTTTTCTTCCCTTGCATACCAGTACTATTGTTTTACTTTCATTTATTTTCATACAATACAGTGTTTGTCAATACCGCTTCCATTTTATCTAAATCTATCTCTAACTTTTCCTTGCTGGATACTAATACTGCTACTTATATCATTTGCAAATCTAAAAGCATACTAATCTTTTGCCTCTGTATATCTATCCTTACAGTTACATTGTCTTTAATGATGTTGATCGCATCTTCGATGTATAGATTAAAAAGTAGCGGTGACATTGTGCATCCCTGTCTGACCGCCTTCCTAATATTTACTTCTCTACGTTGCAGCTCCAGGTCTATGACTGATGCCTGTTGCTCTTTATACAAATTAAGTATCAGTCTTCTATCTCTACAACTCATCCCTACATTTTTAAGTATATTTAACATCTTGTCCCATTTAATATTGTCAAAAGATTTTTGTAAATCTACAAGTCCTATATATGCACTCTTTCCTTTTTCTATCGTTTTGTCTATTGTTACCCATAAAGCTAAAATGATCTCCCGCGTTCCTCTATTTCTTTTAATCCCAAATTTATCTTCCCCTAATAGTTCTTCCGCCCTTTTTCCATCCACCTCTGCACGATTCTAGTTCAAATTTTTGACGCATGGGAACTTAAGCTAATTGTTCTAAATGTCTCGCACCTATCTGCGCCTCTTTGTTCTTAATAAAATACTGGTCAGATAATGTATAATATATTTGTATAAAAATCAACATTGATCATTAACTGATTTTTCATTTAAAATATTAGTTTTACAAAGCTTCTTTAAATAATCTTGTGTGTACCCATCGTTGACATATTTGGGAAGCAATTTATTTCTTTTTCTGAGTTTTATTGGTTCATCTTGATTCAAGTGTTCAAGAAAATCTTGTGGGGATGCCATGTTCAATTCAACTGACAATGGTTGCTTATGCGTAAGTGTTTCTGTCTTACTTATTGTCTCTTCCGGTTTTGGATAACCAGATGATGTGGTGTAACATTTACCCTCGAATCCTAAATATATTATTCCGTCAACGGGTTGAATTATTTTACTACAACATGCTGAATGCATGACGGATGAATGATAAAGTTCAAGTTCAGCGCTTTCACTGTCGGATGTCAATTGTGAGCCATCCCTTTCGTAATTGGTTGTATAAATTTCTGACTCATCTATAAGCATTTCTTTATCTGAATTGCCTTTCTTTTCGACTTCACATTCAATATCCCTAACGAACTGATGAACGAAAGTGGACATCGTATATGAAAAAACCGAAGATCCTGAAAAATAGTGTGAAGATGTTGCTGAAGGGGTTAACCTCGATCTTTTATCTTCTTCTACATCCGTATGTAAAATTTTAAACATCGTGCCGGCTTTTTGAATTAAATTTTCCCTTTTAGCTGTAATTTTGTCCTCATTTGGATTTGTTAAAGGCTTTTTAACAGTTGTTACTTCTTCGTTACAAATTTGTTGCTCCGTTTGTTTCTGTATGGGTCTTCTACGTTCCAGAATACCGTTTATTTTCCTCACTTCTTTCTTTTCTTCCATTTTAGGACTTTTGCTTTCACTGTCTTCTATTTCTGTTGATTCTTGAGGAAAACTTTCAACTGTTTCTTTGACTTTATCAGTTTTGTTTGAGACTTCCGCTCCATGTAGTCTATTTCTTTGAAGTGCCCCATCTTGACTCATCCATATTGATTCATTCGCTGTCTTTTGGACTACAAAATAGCATTATCTGAAGAACTTCCTATTCAGAAAAGAAAATAGTCGGAATTTTTACCATTAGAGTCTAGTAGTTGTAATAAATGTCCAGAAGAAGGTAATGGACATCTATTCCTTTGCTGCATTTTGGCTCTTTGTATATCGCTGTCGGTAATGTCTAGTACCTTAATCGTTCTCTGCACGTAATTTACAATTTTGGGGTCTTCATCTGAAGGTGCAAATACCTCACTGCTCACGTTGCCCTCTACATAGCCGTCGTTCGAAATTCTTACCAAAAGTGAGTCTAAAGATCTTGATTCTATTGTACTCGTCTCTGATCTGACACGGTTATTAAAATTTTCATTCTTGTTATCAATTAGAGGATCCGCATTGATAGAACGAGCCATTCTTCTACGAATAACCAGTTCGTCTGGTATGTTATTTGTTTTGTCCAAATTTTTTTCCAAACCTCCAAAGGTCAATGATTTTAGGTCTCGATAGTAACTAAAAGAAAAATAAGTGTAATTAGGACATGTGTCTTTTCTGAATCAGATAAGCAGCATGGTTGTCTGGAAATCATCGAATAATAAAAGATTTGCATAGCATGGAAGAGAAAAAATCTGGACTAAAGGGTTTTCTAATTTTGTTTCAAATCCAAAAATGACTTTTCAACTCGTAACTTTATTTTCTATTTACGCAATGCAGGTACTTTTTGGCTAATTTTCTCTACGTTGGTTAGAGAGCTAAGAGCCAAGGACCTTCTTGGGCAAGATGGTAAAAAATGCCCAATGCCCTTAGCTCTTTCGGAAATCGATTGTAACCATGCTGTAGGTAAGTAATAATAAAAAAAGCTTTTTCCCAAATTTTAGACGTCTAGGCCGTCACATGACCTCTCACGATCATATTTTATAATTTTCCCTTATTTGAGCATATATCAGTCATTTTTGAAGAGTTTTGAAAATCAAAAATTAAAGGTAATTGAAGCATGAATCCGTTAACTTTTTTTAAATTTTAGGCGCCAAATTCAAATTGTTATAAACGTTTGAAAATTTCAAATGATAAAAAAAAGAATTAATAACCTAACCTACTTAATCACAAACAAAAAATAAAAAAGTTAAAGCCATTACAAATAGTCAAACCATCATAATGGTAATGATAGATACATTTACCTTAAGACAATTATCCAGGCGTACATAGAAGGAGCGTTATCTATTATCTGAGCAAAAAAGAAGTCGATGCAAGCAGGTCTCCATGCTCCGTATACAAAGCAAGCATACATGCCAGCCGTAAATGCAAAGAAGCCCATCCCTAAAGACTTTACTGCACCCACAGTCAACCAGGGTAGAAGAAGATTTGGCCGTTCTTCCTAAATAATTCTTATTTCAAACAATAAACAATTCGAAGATGGGAAATGGTCTAAACGTTTTAAATCAGAAATGAAAGTATTTGTTTAATTGCAATTTCATTGTGAGAGAAAAAGAACATATTTAATATTACATGCGTGGTTATTAAAAGGTACTTTCGCTACTATCAACTCTGTTAAGTGGTTTTAATAGTAGTGTTGATTTCAAAGACCCTACGTATCGTTCAGCAGAACGGACAAAAATTGCATTTCACTTTTGGTATTATCGATTTTACGGACGACGTTATTAAATTTGAACAAATAATACATTAATAATGTGAACATCATCATCATATCATCAGTCTGATCAGGATATGCACCTCCACTTTTTCTTATCCTGGGCTAATCTTCTCATTTCCCCAACACTAGAACAACCCACATCCCTATTTGCGAACAGTAATCTACTGTAGGTCTATCTCTACTCCTCTTTCTGTCTCTAATATATCTCTGACTAGACCTTCATGCCTGAGAAGGTATCCTACCAACCTATTCCGTCTATTTCTTATTGACTTCCATAGAGTTCTCTGTTCTCCTATTCTTTCTAATACCTCTTCATTTCTAACATTCTCTATCCTCATCATTCGCCTGTAACACCACATTTCGCTTCTAGCCTTTTCTTTTCCGCCTCGCCCATTGTCCATGTTTCGCACCCGTACTCCAAACATACACCTTTAACAATCTTTTTCGAAATTCCAAATTAATCGTTCGCGAACACAAAAATTACTTCTTTTTATTGAAAGTGACTTGACCCTGCGCTATCCTCTGCTTTATATCCCTACTACTCGTTCCGTCCTGACGTATCTCACTTCCTAATGGATACCTAAAATCAGCCACTTCTTCTAATTCTTCGTCTCCTACCTTTATATTCGCTCTTTCCCTCTTTTTGTTCCCTTGAATACCAGTATTTTTGTTAATTTTATTTATTTTCATACTATACTATACAAGAAGCATCGATGGTTTAGTGATAAAATGTTCGCTTGCCATATGGGCGGCTAGGTTTCTGTTCCTAGTTGATGTAATTCAGTATCTTCTTTTTTCCTCAATTTATGTTACATTAATTAATACAGTGACAAAATTGGTCAAATTTCGATTAATTGTATTATTATTCAATTATGCACTTACAAAAACTGCAGGCCATAACATGACAATGTAAAAGGCTAAATAGAGATGAACCGAAAACGTCCGAACTAAAACAATTCCACTCAAAAGGTACTTGATAAACATTTGGGAATTTTGTGAGAACTTATCTGGGTCGAGGGATACCGACCAAACTTTCCCTAAGTTGGTATTCAAGTCCAAAATCGAAGCATCGAAAATAGTACAACAGATTCCAACAAGAGTTACAATCAGAACTTCAGTGGCTTTTGTTAGGCCAAAAAGATGACCAATGGTGTTCATGTTTGATTTGATATGAATATATGAGGGAATTAATTGCACATTTATTGTTAATCTAACTATGAATTTTTCAAGGACCAAAAGTAAACGTCATTGTAGTTAATTTGACAGCCACAATAGAAATATATCCGTTACAAACTACTAAAAAACAATAAAAACGAATGCGTTTTAAAAAATATTTGATGATTTTATATTGATGGATATGAAATAATTATTCTTTTGGGTCAGTTCCGAATACAATGAAATAGACGTCATTGAAGATCGTTCAAACGTAATCTTTCTCGATAGCTTTGTATGCAATTTATATTTATAGGGTAAAACTTCCATATCCCGGCTTTTTCGAAAATGTAACTTTTTCTTGTTGGGAATGGCTTAAAATGATTTAATCATAAACAAATTACATGAAATAATCGGGGAGAGGGTGTTTTGAGTATTTTTTATTGAAAATAAACTCTTTTATATTGCACTTAAAAGNCCATCTTAGATTTCAAATACAAACGTAGCAACAACATTTCATCCTTAAAGGTTGATTTTTAAAAATAGCCAAAACACGTGTTTGCTTAATTTCAACAATGAGTATTAAGAGCAACCTTCGAATAAATCCGACTTCAAATAAAATATACCCCATAAAAACATTACGGTCTCTTTTCATTTGATTAATTATATCAAAGGGCATAAATACAAAGTATCATTTAAATTTAACTACAAATAAAATATGTCCCGAACAAAAATTAGGTGTTTCACAAATTAAACGAGAGAGCATTAAGACCAAGTTTCAAGTAAATTTGACCGAAAACAAAAATCTTCCATACAATCTTTGCAAACCCCTTTCTGCTTCCTGCAGAGGTTGAATTTTTTAAAATGTTGAAATAGGTGTTTGATTTTCCAGATTTTCCCGTGTATTTTCCAAAAATTTTCTTTCACGCATTCCTTGTCCTGTCAATTAGGTACAAATACAACAAAAAATAAATCAGTCAAATCGGTTGAGCTGTGCTCAAGTGATGCTCCGTCATACACTTGGCAATTCTCTATAATTGACAGCTAGGAACAGTTTGAATTTGGTACAGGAACATTAAAAAAGAAAAGAAATATCGAAGTTGGTCGTACCGTTTTCGAGTTTTGAGCTTAGCAACACATTTAGCGATTCATTTTTATTTATGTAGATACTTATGTACTTAAAAAATATTTATTTCTCTTTAACTACAAACAAACTAATATTGTTCCAAGGACTATTTCTAATTTAAAATACAAATGCATAATTTGGTGAGTCTGTGGAACATACATTTTCAACCACATATATCTGAATATAACAAAGTACTCACTGAAAGCAATCAAAAAATTACTCAACCGTTTCTGACTTCGCCTTTACAGTTCACGTTGCATTCGTTTAAAAAGTGATATCTCCTCAACAGTCGTTCATACGATACAATTTATGTATATAAAATTGGGGAAGGGGGCACTGTTGCATACTTTAACCTAATCTAACTTAAGTTAGTTTGTGTTGTATTATGTTAAGTTGAGTAGGTTAGATGTAGAAGCAACTATAGAGGCGAAATCAGAAACGACTGAGTAGTGACTGTTATCTATGATAAGTGAAATTTTTATAGATTAAATGTCTTTATGAAGAAATTTGTTTAAAACACATTCCCCTTGTTTTTTTGTCTGAGATTCTTATAAATAGACCTTTTGCAACTAAAAGCAGTACTGTAGGAGTTTAACCGTTAACGGTAACTGCCAAAATGAACTGTTAGTAACTGTAAACGGCAATCTAAAAATGTTTATTTTCAATAAAAAATATTTAAAACACCATCCCCCAGATCATTTCATGTGTTTTTCATAATCGATTCATTTCAAGAAAAAGTTACATTTTGGGAAAAACCGTGATAAAGAAGTTTTAGGTACCATTTATAGATAGATAACACTATTCACACATTTCTATATGGTTGCGTGTGAACCAATTAGTCATCGACATGCGGCACGTGTTCCTTTTCATACTTCTGTGGCGAATGAAGGCTATTGTTTCTTTTTGTGATATTTTTTTTCTAAATTTATTTCTTTTACAATGTTAAATATTTTTTCAATGTAGATTTCAACTTCTTATCTCTTGCATGCCTTTGTTTCTTTTCTACTGTATTCTATTGTCCTTAATCACCTTTACCTAGAAATCTAACTTCAACCGTTCCTGCATGCACCTCTTACTAATAACTGGTTTCTCCCTTGATTACCTAACCTCAAATTCTATGCTGTTCAACCTCTTCAATTCTACGTATTTCTTCATGGGGTGTCCTTTGAAGATTTCCCCTCCTCGAGAATAATCTCAAAAGAAAAAAGTATTGATTAGCTCTGTTCTCTCTACCAGTAAACCCGCCACAAGGCTTCAAGTTATCTCCCATACTTATTAACCTGTTTTGCGCGAACATGCCCTCCCACACTTCCATTCTGACTGCTCGAACGTTGACAACATTGCCCTCATAAACTCTTCCAAAACCATTCTACAAAACACAACGAGAATTAATAAGTTTCTGCCCCTGCTCCTAAACTGGTACCGAAAATGGAAACTTTCCATTAACGAGACCAAATCGGAAGCAATTTTCTTCTCACGTAGACTCTGGAAACCTCCCTCCATCATCGTATATAACCGCCCCATCAAATAAGACCATGGGTGCATTCATCGCACTCAGACCTTTCTTCCGAAGTAACACCATCTCCCAAAAAACAAAAATCCGTGCTTTTAACGCAATCATTAGGAGTTTGTTCTTACGCCATCCCCATTTGGGACTGCACCCATCCCCGACGCTTTCAAATTCTCGAAGGCACTTACGTGCGGATTCTTCGCTCAGCACTCAATTACCCAAGGTTCATCAGAAATACCCAAATTCTAAAAGAAACTGGTCTATTTTCTCTCCCCTAGGTTGCAACCAAATTCGCAGCACATCTTAAGCCCTCATTGTCAGGTTACACAAACCCGTCTATCTTGACACTTTCCTACTTTGCCCCTAAACCAAACGACCGTTTCAGAAGGCCCTGGTAATTTCTTTACTGAGCTGTTTATTTTTGCTCATTTCTAGTTACGCTTTTTAGCGCGAGCGAGTGTCCACCCTACTTTTGTGAATGGACACCCACACCAATCGCCCCAAACAATCCCCTCCCCTCGTTTATCTCCGCCTCCCTAATCTTTCCAACAATCCTCCCTTGGAAGTCACAACTTTCGGGTTGACACCCCTACTCGAGGAGGGGTTTTAGTCGGTATGCGCTTAGGCGAATCCAACACTACCCCCCCAAGGGGTGTCTTTTGAAAATTTCCCCTCCTCAAGGATAAGCTAAACAAAAAAAACTATTGATTTAATTCGTTTTGTATTCTCTACGTTCGGCAGTCGTTTCTACATCTAGTAAATTTTCTTATCGTGTTCTATATTATTTGTTGTTATTTCTTTGTGTGACTTGTCTATTGTAGCATCAGAAATAAGCATTTGTAGTGTATAAAGGTTGTCTCATAGCATTAGATATTTACCTAAACGTTTTGTTTGTTTATTTATAAAAAAATTATGATCAAAACAATTATGATGGCAGAGTAATGGTACAAAGCTCTGTTTAATTCTTGAGATCATCATATGATTCCTGTATTTTATTTAGGATAAAACACCCTGTACATTATTTTGTTACATTAGTACTCACATGATTAGCAAATGTCTGGTTCAGCATTTTATCTAATTTATTAAATTTTAATTACTGTATTAATATAATTGATTTGATAAACATTTCTTTCCATGTTAAATACGACTTCTTTAGATATTTTTCTAGATTTTTAAGTAGTTTTACATATCGAAAAGTGGAAGGTTCATCTTATAAACTTTACCTTGTACTATTTTGTTCGCTAAAAGGTCAATTTATGCGTTAGAGGAAGGGTCAATGTAAGCATAGAAGGAAAGGTGAGTTCTTGAGTTTTCATAAGTCTCACATTTATCGACACTATTTTCTTTAAAAGTCGTGACAAGCTCACATGTACATGACAGGAAACCAACTATTCAGACAATTATTATGTCTGTAAATAGAAAAACTTTTGCTTAGAAGAATTATAAAAAAGATAGTAAGTAACATATTACATGAGCAATACCAAGACTTAACATGCAAGATGAAGACCTAAACTATATCAGTAAGGCCAAAACCAAGACCGAGACCAATACTAGAAGTATTCGAGTAAGACCAAAACCAATACCAAGACTATGACAGTCTTGCTTTGCTCATCACTAAATGTTTCTAGTCGCTAAAAACAAATTGTAAAACATTATTTAAGTAGATAAATAATAACGAAATTGCTTTTATTAGAAAACAGACATTTATAGAATCAGGAGATAAATCTAAACATTTTCTACCATATAACTATTAATAAAATATTGTAGCGAGCACGAACGTGTTTGTGTGCGATCGGGCATATGTGTATGTGAGCGGCTTATCGATTCGCCGACTAGCCGCGGGCGCCTTTCTTCATGTGCGCCGTATCTGTAAACGTGTGTGTCGTACCTGCGTTCCGAGAAAACAGTTAAACAGTTCGAAGAAAACAAAACTTTTTCAGACGGCTCGAGAATGTTCCCGAAAGGAAGCAAGGAAGTATTTAAAGGAAGAGACGATCGCCGAAGTAGAGTAGAAATAAATTGACCGTCGCAGAAGTGAATCAAGAAATAAATTGACAGTGATAGAAGTGAAATCAATAGAACAGTGAATAGTAACAGTACTGTAAATAAATAAAATAATTACCTAAGTTTAGTAATAATTTAATAGTGTTTTTAAGTTCAATAATAATTAGTGTAAATAAATAGTTTTCTTCTTAAAAGTTAATTTGTTAAACCCACGAACATTACAATATGTAAACAATTTAGCACCCTAGATCAAATGGATCTAAGTAAACAAAAATTACTTCGGTGAAATTCTTGTTAATATTAAGGATAAAGCAGAAAAAACAAAAAAGTCAGGTTTGTAAAAGATTGATTGTAGGGAATGCAAAGCGAACTACCATATAGGTATATTGAAATATATTTATTGAGCCGAAAAACAAATGTTCCAAAACCAAACATATTGAAGATATGTCACTGTTTGATGCGAATTT